TCAGTTTGCATGGGCGGTGCCACGCCCCCTTTTCCAAAATCTACCACTTTTCGCCGTACGTACGGTATTGACAACATATGTTGCTGTGTCCAATTTCAGGACGTTAGCATAAGCGGTTCCAGAGATAAGCGATATGAGAATTTCAGTTTGTATGGGAAGTGCCACGCCCATTTTCCCAGTACCTACCATTTTTCACCGTGAGTGGGGTATTTACAATTTATGCATCTGTGCTAAGTTTCAGCTCTCCAGCGTAATTGGTTTTAGAGATATAGTGGTTTTCACATTTTAGTCTATATGCCAGATGCCACGCCCCCTATGTATCGAGGTTAACATTTCTGGATTAGAGCACGTTATATCCTTTAAATCGGTGTATGTTTCATTGAAATCGAGCGAACGGTGCCTTCAAAAAAGGGATTGTAAAATTTTCTTGTGGCGTATTTATATATAGATTTTTATTTTGAACAACCATCTTATTTTAATAGCAACCATAACCCCTGACAAAGCTTCACAGGGCAGAGAATGTACCTTTTTTGCCTTGCAAGAGTGTGAAATTTTAAAAAACGAACACACAATTTTCTCACCCTTTGCCTTTAATTTAGAATCGAACACGAAAACAGAAAGGGGCAATCAAAAGGCAAAATTTTTTGGTAGAAACGAAATCACCATAACTCTGTGACTTGTATGCAAAACTCTTTTATAATGTCAGTAAGTTGTGAAAAAAGAATTGTAAGTTATAGGCGAAAGCCATTCGAATATTTAAATTTGTTGTTAATAAACTGATAGTTATTTTCGAGATAGCTAGCAACACGTCGGCCTTATTTTTTAAATAATTTAAGCTCCGTCATATTATCGCAACTGTTACGTAATGACTCGGCGATATGCCCATAAAACGATTGATCTTTTTGTTGTATTAATTTCTTGGGCACATCAAACATTATCTGAAGCATGTCAACTATAATTAAATTAGTTTCTTCTTACTTTTTACAGTGCAGCTTAAGGAACTTCCAAAGTTATGTAAAACCCTTAAGAAAATCCTAAAGTATTTTGTTTGAATTGAAAATTCAGTACAAATCAGTACAAATTTTGAAAAATCAGGACATTAGCGTATTGATTGAAGAAATTAATAAAATCAGTACAAGAGTTGAAAAATCAGTACTTTACTGATAAAATCAGTATCTACGTCTGGCAACCGTAATTTGAAAAGGCGGTTCCTAAACCATAAATCTGTTTTAAATAATTTTAGTGTTTTGTTTCCAAAGTATGATTTTAACGAAAAAAAAACTGAAGAATTGTTTGCTTTCTATGAAAAAGTAATCGACTGCTCGAAACAAAACTTTCTTCTGGAGGTACAAATGTGGAAAAAACGAGTTTCACACGAACACCGTTCATTCGTTGGTACAATTTATGGAAAAAAAGAGAAAAAGAACTTGTCCGAAGAAGATATGAAGGATGTTGAAGTTGTAGATCTATTAAAAAAAAAATGAGTTTCTTACCAGCGATAAATAAGTGTATCTCCATTTTGAGTGCTTTTCCATGCACAACAGCGACTGTGGAGCGATCGTCTAGTACGCTTCGTAGAGTAAAAACCTGGCTCAGAAGAACAACAGGGGAATAAAGGCTTTCTGGACTATACCTCGTGAGCGTCCATAGAAAACTCGTTACCGAAAACCGCGAGAGAGGAAATAATTGAAAAATTTTCTGAAAACCCTAAACGTTTGTTATTAGCATAAAAATGATTAAATAAAAAATATATCAAAAAATTAACAAGTATATCTCGCTTTGCCACTCCCCCCCCCCCCCCCCCCCCCC